GTTGCATGTAGATAATGAGAAAATAAAGTAAATTCATCTTATTTTATTGTCGTTAATTTGTTTTTCTTCAGAAATAGGGTCTTATTGTGTCACTTTCTTCACCAAGTAAAAGAATTCAGTCACATTGTCAATTAAGGAGAAAAGTAATAAGAAGGACTAGATTTACACGAATACTCCTCAGCTGCATATATCCTAAAAAGTATAATGCTTATTACCACATGGGATAATTTAAAATCACGAAACCAATAATCTCTTAAGTTGCACAGTAAAATCATTCACAATCCATATAATATGTGACAGAATTCAGTGCATAGAGGCATCAGAAATGTAAGAGAAGGAATGTCTTCAGCGAATCTCTGCTTATAGGAGCGTATGGTCAATCATCCGCTTCTATAATGACTATAAATTGGTCTTGTTTCATTTCAGTTACATAATTCAATATTCTATTCAGGTACTATTATCTAGCACTAATCCCTCCTTTCTTACATTCCTTACCCTCTGTACAATTTACTCCCTTTTATGTTAAACAGATCATCAATGATTTTTTGTCGGACAACTTAAGACTATTGGTTTCCTAATTTTAAATTATCTTATTTGTTGGTAACCGTTGTACTTCCTAACTATATGCGGCTGAGGAGTATTCAAGAAATAAAATGATATCTCACCCTTCTTCTAATCTAGTTTATCTTGCTTCATCCAAATTAATCAAGGTATTTCAAATAGTTAAAAGTGATGGTTTAGAAAGCCATGGGGCTAGGTTTTGCACCCACTGGCACTCATCAGTGAGATATATTTGTAACTTCAGGGAAGTGATGTTCTCACCTAGATTCAAACCCACTCCTCCAGCTATCGACGTCACTAATGAATTATACGGGTTACGACTGACTTTGTAGGTCTGGATTTAAAAAACTGACTGATCATCGGAGTGTCATCAATTTCATTCTGTCTAGCCCCGTGCTCCCACCTGATTTTGTCAGTAATCCACTTCCTGATAACATCAATAACTGCAGCACCGAGTATCATGATTTCAAATCTCCTAATAGAAATCATTTACCAAAGGATTTAAATGCATGAAAGTATTAGGAATCAGCTATTTGTTTTCTGTAATGCGAAAATTCCCATTTAGACATTTAGTAAAACAAACAATGTGAGCGAAGAAATATTAGTGTAGAGCCATTGATGAGGAACTAATTGAAAAGAAATATTTCTTCGCTCACATTGTTTGTTTTATTTGTTTTCTACTTTAAAAGTTAACTAATAGATATTAAATGTCAACAAAGAAAGCTTACACGTTTCATCTAACAAGTTTAATCAGTTATTGAAGGGTTTTTCTTGTTGAGATATTCAGCATGTGAATGACGTTACTTACTTACAGAAGTCAGTAAGTAAGATACATATAAAACAATGTTCTGAGTTCATGTCCTCCATATGAAGGAATCACAACGTAAACAGTTCATATGCCATAATATGAACAAATATCGTAAAACAATCACTCATACAGTGATAACACAGTCAATTAGGTGACACTTTGATTACAGTTACTGCTCATAGTCATATGAAAGTATCCATAGAAGTGATGACATGTGAGTTTTATGGTTTCATCGATTTGTATTCTTTTTTTGTTACTGGTAGAAGACATTTCAAGGTCCTTAGAACAGGTCTTATTTTGTCCTACTCCATGGTATGATTATATAATGGTATATTCACTTCAATAATTGATTTTGTTGAATTCTAAGATGGAATCAACAGTGAATACATGCTAAAGGAATGAATGACACAACACGCACTCAAACCAAAAATCAAATGTCTGAATTTTCGTAATTACTCTGATATGATTTTGAGTGATATATAAACTGGAAATGTTACTCAGTAAGTAATACTGTTTCACAGCATGTTATGACAAATAAACCAATTTAATATGAAATAAACTCCATACAAGTGGATGGCAGTTAAAATTTTTTTTCTGGAAAACAAACCTTTACTTTTAAACTATCAAAATTCTTATTGCTGGAAACTTCTACACTTTTAGTCAACACTTAAAGTAATGAAAATTGTGAAGTTGAACATTAGTCGAGAAACTTCCTTTTCGTATAACTTAATCAGTAATCAGTTGGTGTGATTTAAGCTGTCCATACACTTGTTATCGGTAAATGTTTCTTTAGTCATTCAAAGATAACTGCAGAAAAGTAAATAAGAAGTGGGGACTCGATGGAGAAGTGCTACGTCCACGCTTCCAGCTAGGTCTGCAGTGCAAATCGATCACAGATTGTTGATAGTCATCAAACATCAAATCTTGACTTATGCATAAACATTTCCTCACTGAATCATAACAGACAAAAGATAACCGACTAAAGTAATACAAGCCCCTAATTTCTTTAAAATCATACAGATTTGGAGAAATAAATAATTAAAGTTTACCATATTTATATTTTCAAGTATATCCACACTGACTTAAGGAAGCAAGTAGTATGTAAAGTTAGGTCATTCATTTTTGAGTAGGTTGCAAAATTATATTGTCAGATATCGTGTGAATTAGGTAACGGACAAAAAAAATCTTCATATCAGGAAGATGGGGCATTAAAATCCTGAAAAATCTGCAGTAAATGAGTTGCACTATTTAACCACCAAGATAAACAGTACAAACAATTACTACTTACTCCAAATATTTTATCAGTAAGAATTTCCAATGAAGCTGAATATTATGATCCTGCTAGTATTATCCCGTTGTTGGCTGCACCGAACTAATCCTTCTGTATTAGTTTATAGGCTTCTTCGCAGATGTCTGGGTATTAACAGTCATTTCGATGCCAACAGAGACAGATCAATTCAGTCCAGCCAATAACGAGATAATACAAAACAACATAAAAACTACACTCATCGTCCAAGAAATGGCTATCTTGACTCGATTGCCTACTAGATATTTACCTGGCATTTGAAACAGTCGGTTCCGACTTTGAATCTTGGTGGGGATAATATCGATCACTGGGAAGCAGGTGCATCCAGCTGACGAATTCCAAGTAGGACGATACACGTGTCTTGGATTCCACTACCAGCTACTACCCATCACTACTGGAAGCTGGATATTCCACAATACAATACAGTGTAATACAAAATGCAAAACCAAGGCAATACAGACAACTATGAGACTTATTTATTAAAATAATCTGAAAACCTTTGAATGAAAAAGACACTGGAGGATCCGTTAATTATATAGGACAGTTTATATTGCAACAGAGGAACATATAAGTGGTTTGAGGTTGTTGAGGGTTTATTTATTTCAGACTGGTATTCTTCATTGACTGTCGTTAGTTGAACCCGGCCGGACCATTAAGCAAAACAATTCAATCTATCAAATTCCATATAATGACTGTGAGGTCAAGTACATAGGTCAAACCAGCCAGTCGACGTCAGTTAGGTCAACCGAAAATATAAGTTCAGCTAAATATAGAATGACAAATCCCGGTAAGTTCACTAGCCTTGAAAAACACTCTGCACTTGCAATGCATATATTAACACACAGCCACACAATAGGGCGGGATAAAACCACTGTACTCTAGTCCAATATAGTTAAGCGGAGACAGGAAGAGATTGATTACTGAATCTTTGTTCATCAAGTCAACACCCAACACATGTAATCAAAATGAAGCGGCACCTATACCAGAGATATTGAAGACTTTACTATCGATAAAAACAAAGAATACTGGGTGATAGGACCATGAAAATCAGATGCCTAAAGTAGTGTTATTACATTTATATGATCATAAACCATGATAATTTATATTAGTGATGGATCGTGGCTAGCAGTAGAATCTAGGATGCGCATTTCGTCGTATTTGGGACTCGTCAACTGAATGTACCTGCTTCCCAGTGAGTGATGTTATTCCTAACGGGATTAAGACAGAGGAGCGATCGCTTCAAACGCCAAGGCGTTATCCATTACACCATCGATCCACGATAGCCACTTCTTGTGCGACTGTTATAGTTTTAGTATTATTGTTTCTACATCATACCGTATCAAACCGAATTGATCGGTCCCAAATACGACGAGATGCGCATCCTGGATTCCACTGCTAGCCACGATCCATCATTAATATGACTAAAACGCAGGCAATATCGAGGCATCCGCACAGGAGCGCATATGCCAATAGAGACCGATCAATTCGGTCCAAGCAACGACGGTATCATACAAAAAAAATATTACTACATGATAATTTATGCTTGAATTGCCGTCATCAAGTAAATAACACTGTTTCAATGTGTGTTATAAATCAAATGAAAAAATCTAATATGGAGTCGGTTAGAGGATAGCTAAAATCCTGTGAGTGCTGGATAACTGTTTTATTTCTAGTATAAGGCCCTCAGCGATGTACACCCATAACACCACCAGGGATAGAACTCAAACTATCATCTCTCACAACTTAGCCGTTGGTCTCAAATTATCATCAGAATAAACAAAGATATTTACACACTTTAGTTAATTTGATGGAAAATTATCATTTCAACATTTTAAATCTGGTTTTGGTTGTATAACCTGAGTGTTATCCTTCCCTTTGGGTCAATAAGTTTTTATCAAATTGATTGAGGTATGTAAACATTTCAGTATATTTCGATAATGAAATTGTCTTTGAGTGGAAGCAAGCAAATGTTAAATGAATATTCACATGATTGGCATAGTTTTGGAGTTTATCACACTCTAATATATCGAAAAAATTGTGGTCAGTACTTAGATTGAATATGTTCTAATCGACTTCCGATTTATCTAAGAGCCGTTTCCAATAGGAGATTTCGATATATTATACAATATGTCACATTAAGGTACAAAAGTAGATCATTTGATCGAATGTTTAACAAAACTTACTCTTGACCTTCACGTAAATACTTATACTACTTATAAAATAAAACAGTTATCATAGAATCAGTCAAAAGTTTGTATCAAAGACAATGATATCAAACTTGTAATAATTTCATTTATATAAGTTGAATAATAATAATAATCATACCTTAGAGTATATGTTCTTCTTTATCTTGATGGTTTAGATCCAAAATTTCAAAAAATATACTGACACGTCAAGTTATATGATCGTAATTTAAGTTGTAGGTAAACAGAAATCTTTAAATAAAAATAACCTACCTACCAATACTATCTTCTGGTTAAAAGTGATTTGCCCACGTGTAGGCTATCATTCTTTTTGTTTTCATCAACTAATTTCTTTCTCTATTAGTCCAATCATATCGTGACAAAAAATAGTCATTCAGCCGTTTATGAAGGAAATATTAGTGATGATACGAATGATACTACTACTAATACTACTAACAATAATGCTATCAATACTTCTTCAACTATCATTATTATTATTATTATCCTAGCCAATATTACTTTCAGCTCTAGTATTGTACTGATACTGTGGAAAAATAATGATGAATCTTGTCTAGGAGAAATAAACTCAGAAAATAAACACAAATATTGATATATTCCTTTACATAAACTGAAATAATTAGGACCAATCATTACAGATACAGATAAAATAGAAGATGATGTATTTGTTATGCATAAATTAACCATAAATCTTACTGAAATTTGACACAGGAAAAAAATGTTTTATACTGTAAAATCTTGACATATTCATATTGAATTTAATATGAAAGTAAATAAAATGTTTTACCTTAGTTTTGTGTTGTATATGGTGGATTATAATGAAATCCTCCTTTTTTGGAAGGAGAGAAACTCTTAACTTCATACTGTTTTAACACTGAAGACTGTACAATATAGTTAAGTGTCATACTACATAGTCTAACCGATTGAATAAAGTTGAAATCGGATGATAAAGGCAAAAATGTAAGAGTTTTGACTATGTCCAGGTAAATACAACTTATTAAAGTTGAAAAACTGTATTGAGTTCAGTGAGGTCAAAATCACTAACATTCTTATCCAATACGGCTTAAAACCTAATCAAAAGGTGGAATAGTGATTATTGTTATTATTATTATTTATTTTTCCTTTTTGTTCCTAGTGGAACATAGATCTTCAGTAGCACGCCACCATTCCACTCTCTTCTCTGCGGTCTTTTGAACCTGGCTCCACGACTGCCCACAAGCTTTCATTTCTTCTTCATACATCATCACCTCCATGTCACCCTCAGCCGGAACGCCCAACTCGTCGTTTCCTATTTGGCTTCCACTCGATGGCCTGACCTGGAGCATGATGTCCCCAACCGGCCTTCCCAGTGTATGCTCAATCCAATCCATCTCCACTTTCTTCTGCATATTTTTTGGGTGATAGGCTCTTATTTGGTTCGTTGACGGCCAGCCAGAGTTCTTTGCTGCTTATTCTTTCTGGCCATCCATCTGATCTTCAGTATCAAGCATAGGCAGTTGTTGATGAATGTCTGTAGTTTGTTGGAAATGCTTTTCGTGATACGCCAAATTTCTGAACCATATAGCAACACTAACTTGACATTCTTGCTGAAAATCTGTACCTTGTTCTTTATGCTAAGTGCAGAAGATCTCCACACTGATTTCAGATTAATGAAAGTCTGTCATGATCTGTTTCCGAACCTAGCTTTGACATCCTCATCTTTGCCACCTGCAGTTGAAACGATGCTGCCTTGCCTAGATAGATGAAATAGGATACTTCCTTTAGATTTCTCCCATTGATGGTGATTGGTGCTTGTTGTTGATGCTGTTGTTGGTTAGGTATCTTCATCACCTCCGTCTTCTCTACATTCACTTGAAGTCCCGTTTTCTCTGCCTCTTTTGAATGATAAGTATGATGAAAGGTTTTTGTGCAACATTTCTTTCTGGGTTCAAATGAATTTTTCCTTACATCCCTAAAACATTAGTGTGTAATTTGTCTCAATTCTTCTATTCGTGGGAGTGTTGCATCCACCATTTGTGTTACACATAGATTCATTTAAACAAGTGAAGAAGGCTAAGGGAAATTTTTCAATATTACTCTGAATTTTCTGGCACAATGCTCATTGACACAAATGCATCAGCAGATTATCTAAATCTTAAGCGGTATACGGAAGTGTATTATTGTTTTGTAGCTTTTTCTTCCGTTTTTACGCCTTTCTACTATTTACGATAATTTGCTTCTATCCCTTTTTCATCTTATACCTTAATATACTTATATGTAGTGTAATAACTTCGTTAACTATAAAGTCACTCCACGTCACGTCACGTACCATGATGATACGAACTGACCGATTAGAAAGCATTATGGTCTTATCAGTTACATTTGTCGAGTGTCGCATGATGGTACAAAAGAGCAGTGATATGCCGAAGTTATTATATTGAACGTATTCTAGATTCCCCTTGCTAGCTACTATCCATCATTTCGACATGATGTTGCAGAAACAAACATTAAACCATTGTCAAACTAACACCAAATCAGTTTTAACCTCTAAGTTCATGTGAAATCTGCGTACAAATTGAATATGACTGCTTTCAAGATAATATTAGTCTGGACCGTCAATAGTCGACTTACATACTCTAAGTGGATTCATCCTCCTAGTTTATGCTTTCTGAAGGAAGTCGCCTTTTTCAAACATCTGATGTCTCCATACAGTAGTACCCACGTGTATCCTAACATCACATAGATTGTTGCCAGTCGGTTTTCATTTCTTATAATGCGCGTGATTGTTGCCTACATCCGTTCATAACTTCACTTGTCACCAAGTTTCCCAGCATTTTGTGATCGTATTCGATGCCAGCAGTGAATGGAAGGAGGTAAATGCAAAACACATTGGTCTGTTTAGTATTTGTGTCAAACATACTGCCAACTCGTAAGACTCACCCATGATGTAGTAAACGAAATTCTAACACACTGGGTGACATCGTAGAATGGAGCTTATCACCACAAAAACTGGGAGTAAATACCAATGTCGAAGAAGAAAGGTATCCCTAATACTTAGATGTCATAAACAGTATGACAACAGTACTTTGAATGCTCTACCATAAGGCATGTAACTTACTTTATATTATTACTTGCATAAAACGTATCGGACAAGAAGTGACTTCAGTGACCTAGTAGCCTAAAGGATAACTCTCTGGCGTTTGAAGTAACCGGTCTCTGGGTCGAGTCTTCGTAAAGACAACATCACTCACCGGGGAGCAAGTACATCTAACTGACGAGTTCTAAAAAGGACAAAACCCGCATGCTGGATTCCTCTGCCAGCTACCATCCATCAAGAAAAAGTATTGATCAATTGGATGAGTAGATATTTTGTTAAGAAAAAGCAACCATTGGTGAATGATTTCAAAATCAGCCACGAAATTCTACTATGAAACTAGTATGTTGGAACATCTAAATTGAATTTTTTTTGACTTTTCATGATAGAATATCATATCACGTTGCTCAAAAGCTTTATCTCTGTTTACTTGAGCATCCCTAGTGATTACTGAATATCCTTATTAGGAGGGATATGAGGATAGGTTCGTTTATATCCGTCAGCAGGCTTCAACTACTCCTATACCATTGTTCAATGATAGGTATTTTCAGCAGACACTATACCTGAACGATTTGATAAGAAGGTAAAAAATGTAACCTATTTGTGTGGTGCATACTAAGCAATGTGATCATATATTTACTTCTAAAAGCACTTTATATGGAAACTGAGGATACAACTACTAGACATAATCAAAGATGCAGAAATAAAAGGCGGATATGGAAAGAAAATACTGATTTCATCAAATCATAACCACAACCAAGAAAGATTTAAAATAATTAAAAATTGATTCCGAACGCACAAAAGTGTTTGAATGTTCATTCACCTAAGGTTATAATGAACCTAATTAGATGACACATAATTCCTATCTAAATTTTTTAAAGGCTGTATTGAGGTTAATCCTGTGATTCATAGATGAAGAAGTAGAACTAGTGTAACGTGTTATAATGCGGTTCTACTTAATACAAGTTTATCTCATATTTAAAAAAATGTATCAAATGCTTACCTTAAAGAAATGACATCTTCCTTTAATTTTGAAAGCATAGAACTGTATAAGTATAATTGCTTCTTTAGATAAAAGGGAGATATGTTTTTGATAAGACTGTCTGAGATATTTATGAATTAGCAGGTGGTTATTCGTGAGATTGAAACCTGACCGAAAACTTGGTCCCCTTGCTAAGTTGATAGAGCACCAGAATAGTAATTTAAGAGTACCAGGGTGCAGTTCTGTTACAACCAAAGTTGTCATCCCAGTTTCAATCACTATTCACTATTGTAAATACCACTCTGCGAAATAGCCAACAGCTACGTTTTTTCACTTCATTTTGATTTGGTAGCAAACGAGAATATATATAACAGGCCAGTTATTGCAATGATGATTATTATTATGCATTCACATAAGAGTTGATTGAACTTTTCTGTGACTAAATAGAATAAAAGACTTTTCCGGTAGTTGGAAATTGTAGCTCAGCTATTCGGAAATTGTGTCAATTAACTGAAGACCCACTTTTCTAAACCCCCTGCAAAGAATACCGTCGTTTAACCTGTAAACTTTATTATGATGCGATACTCTGCATCAAACTCCACCACAGTTTTATTACTCTTCATACTATGCATTTTTTGACATATATATTAATTAACTTGTAGTATGGGATGATATTTAGCCGTCTATGTACGGCTGGGGTTTATATTAGAGCTTAAGTATCGTTTTCACTAGGATTATAAGCTTGGCCGGTCGAACCCTTCTGTTGATAATTGAATAACACTTTCAGTTTAAAACCGTATAGTTAGATTCTCCACATAAGATAGTGTTCTGTAGACATCTTTTTTGAAACAGAACACTAGGTGGATATCAAAGCTTATTCATTTTTGCATTTATTTATGTGTCACCATAAAGAGTTTGATTTCTTATTTTAAGGTATATTTTTGCAGATAAGTTGACTTCTGAATAATTTTCCGACTGCATTGGAAACAAACAGTAGTAAATTAGGTACTATCAGTTCAAAATACGGTTTTGAGTTTCTCCGGTATGTATGTTACATCGTTATGCCCGTCGCATACTACTTAGATATCATTATCTTATCTCTCATATAGGTGGAGTTTAATTGGATAGATCATTTCCATATAATCT